ACGTGCTTGCACTAAGAACACGCTTCTTGACTGAATGCAACTACGGCGCCACACCAAGCCACATAATAACTGTCTTATGCTTATGGAAAGTGTATTTTTGGCTCTAATCAAAGCAATTAAATGTTTAATGCTTAAATATTAATATATTACCTTGGTTATGAATACTACCTAGTATAATAATACTAATACTACTAATACTAGTATTCATAATCAATATATACAATTATATAGACATACTTATCGACAAATATTGTTAGCCAATCCTTATTCTAAGCTGAACTCACATGTACTTATAATAGAGTCTTATCCTATGCTTAAATAAGATTGACCCAAATCTTCCACTCTGCTAAATAAACACTGAAGTTTAAAATGCTGTCCTATAATCTTTTATGGATCTAAAAAAACATTTTTGATTAGGCTAAGGGAGAGCATATATTGTTATTTTGGCTGGAGCCCACGTTAAAGAGTTTGCTGGTAATTTATGATGGGAATATTGATTTAAAAATTATATTCACATCATTAAGTTATTTTAAAGACAATCTGTATGTAGTGTTATAAGAAACGTTGGATGTCATTATCAAAACATTTATTTAATTATAAATTGACACTAATCGATAATATAATGAAAATGTGTCAAATAGAATATTAATTTTACACGAGTTTACTAGGTGTCAAAAATTCATATTATGGACTCGAATGTCTAAGGGAATCCTAAAATTAATATAATGGCTACCTACATAGTACATAAATTATATCGGTGCTTTTGACTATACACTTTAAAAACAAAAATACTTTTTCGTAGTTATACCTATCTGTATATCATATTATGAAATATTAATTATTATTTACTAATACAGTAAATAATAGGTTATTACTGTCAATGCCTACTATTTCGTTATTATTTAAAATTTAAATATTTTGAATACTTATACCTATTAACTATACATAATAATATATTGATATTTGTAATTGCAGTAGTCAATAAATTATTAAGGTCACATATCGAATTAGAAATATGTTTACGTTATTAAGCATTTCTTGAATGTCAAAATAATGTATAAATTGGGATTTTTCCGATTTGAAATGAAAAGTATGACAAATTATAAAAAGGATTTTCTGAACGAATATTGAATATGTTTTGATAACACTCCAAGTACAATATCTTGGTTTATCATATTTATTTTACAATATGGGAAGACGTGCAAACTGTCATCGGGTCGATTCCTTGTGCATGATCCTAGTCACTAGTAAGTAATAGCATGAGAAGTATTTTGTATAGAACTCCTATATTATGTCTGTTGTAAAGTGGTATTCCTAAAGCACCGGCACAGTGCACACACTCGAGTGTTGAACGTTTGTTCTAACTCCACTTCTCAGTGGCATTGTTGTGTATAAAAAGAAAAATCAGAAAATTTCCATCCAGCGAAAATAATAACCAGTTAAAAATAAAATAAAAATTAATAGAATACGATGAAAATTTATAATTCATAAATTATAATCAGAATGGAATTATTTCCAGACCTTTAAAACTATGTAGATATGATAATAAATTATAGCAATAAACTTTTAACAATATCTATCAAATAAATTCACCAATATGTTACACGTAAATCATTTACTTAAGATTATGTATACAATTTTTGAATTTTTTTGATGAGTTGATGATGAGATTTGTTTTTTGTATATATCGTAGCGTAATTACCTACATTAAGTATTTTATTAAATATCTTTAAATAGGCTTGAAATCGAATTTAATTATTCGATTTTAATTCAATTTGCTTATTGATAATAGTTTTAATTTATTTCAATAAATTTAAAATAATATATTGTTTATAATCTTATAATTTTTACTTTGCACAGTATCGATTTAATTGTTTCTGATTTGTCATAGGTATAGTTTTTTTTTAAATATGATTTTTACTATAAAGTTATTAAAAATTTAGGTAAAAATCACTTTTACAATTTTTATGATTTTACTTTTGATTTCTATCTAACTACGTAGAGATTCGTCATTCGGGCATTCCATCATTTCCATCATACGCGTTGTATCACGAAGCTATGAAATAGGCATAAGAAAACAAAATATTAGTATTACTACTTATTACTTACCTACTGAATAACGATGAACAATAATATAGCTTTGTTGGCCAATTGCTCAATTTTAAGCTTGAGTTGATTTTTTAAAAAAAAAAGCTATAAGGCGATAATTATTTATTAACTATCAAATTTAATATTTTTAATGTCAAAATAAATTTTAAATATCATAAATAAATTAAATTTCAATATTACTTTTGATTTCTTAAAAAATATATAACAATAATTTTTATCGATATTTCAAATTAATGTTGTAATTAATTTCAAGCCCTGCATTTAAATGATAGCTCTTTTTATTTTCATCAGATAAAAAAGAAAGCTAGCTATCAACTTTTATAATAAAACGTTTGAAGAACAATTTTTTCTTGGTATTTGAACATAAAAAAAAAGGTAATACTGCTTTTAAATCTGTACACACTAGAAATAATTAATAATACGTAAAAAAAAAGATTCACCGACAGGATGGCTTGATTGAAGGAGATGTTAATTTACATTACTTAAAAGTTCAAATGTTAGTTATATTTATGATTTTTTTATTTTAAGGTTTAACCAATGAAAATATGTCTAGGACATTTACGATTAAACTGAAGAGTTGGATTAATTGAGGAATAAATACTGAAGATAACTTTCTAAATAAAGTTAGTCCAAACTAAAGCACATAATTTTTTTATTGGACAATTCACAAAATATAATGCATAATATTATAATACATCAAATGTTGTATATTATTTATACAAACAAAAAATTAGAAACACGATTAGTTAACTACGATTTACGAAAACACTGAAATGTATATTATGATTAAAAATTCTTTCAAAAGCTATAAATAAATACAACATGTTTTATTATTCAATAAAAATTCGTGCTAATAATATTTCAATTACAAAAACACTTATCAAACGCGAACAAATAAAAATATAACATCTGATAGGTAGTCTCCCTATAGACTAAATTATAGTTTATAACCCTATATACCTATTTTATATTTTAACTAACAATTTACAGTATCTTCTAATTTTACTAATTTTAATATAACAATATTTTCAACATAAAGATTAATATAAATGTCAAAGTGTTTTTAATATTTATGTTTATGTACAAGTACAATTATTTAACTATATTATAGTTAATACATAACATTGGGTACTTAATTCATTGCAATGTTTAACAATAAACAAATAAATCCAATATTTTAATAGAATTTGAGTATACAAATCAACATGCCAAATTAATAAATTGTTCTCATTAATAAAAGGTTGGATTTTGTAAATTTAACATAGTTTTTTAAGTTAACATAAAAATTTGTTAATTTTATTCATCGTTACATTTTGGTAATATTAAATATAAAATCCAACACAATCGCATAGTGTTAGGGACTAGGGTTAGTCACTTTTATGATTCTCATTATGGAGTGAATCCATCGTTGATTTGACTTTTACAAAATATTTACGTTTAAGTATAACAACATTTTCATAGACTTTACTATAATAATTGTAGTAGTACAATTATAAGCCATTATAGCAATGCAATCTCCGTGTGCTTAATAGTTTGGTTATCTTCGAATCTCGAGTTGCACAAATTAAAATAATAATATTTTAAACTTGTTGACAACCAGCGCAGAGTAAGTTGAAAAATTCACTTTACTTTGAAAAGTTGTTTATAAAAACTATTTCATTAGAAATCGCAATAAAATTTTTGTTCATATAATAGGTACCTCATGGAAACTAAGGAACCAAAAACATCTAGAGGTCAGCACTTTTTGTCTGGCTTACACTGCTGAAATGACAACATGACTAAAACTAAAAAGGAAATAAATGATGTTTTTTTACACAACTATTTTACTCGATTTGAATACAATAAGCAGGTAACATTATTACTTATTAATTATGTACATATGAAATCATCGAAATATTTTGTTTAGTACAGAATAATACAATGTATACCGAAAATCTAAACCGAATGTTTTGCTAGGTGATCAAATCAAAGGCAGACGTTATTATATTAGGTATTATTATTTTTTTGTTAATCTAATGAAAATAATGCTGATCCATATATTAGTTGTATTCTGTGGACTAGAATTGCCTATTTATGTATATAAATATTTGCTATAATTGTTGCGCCAGTAAATTATTATTTAAACGCTGTTCGGAAGCGGATAGTACTTGAATGAGTGATGTAAAGGAATTTGAACGAAATTCGGTACGAATACGAAGCTTGGAGCCAACTTGATAGTGAAAAAGGCTCGAAACATGAACATTGACATTGTTTCGTGCTAAAAACAGAGTGTAGATTAAAAACAATAACCCTGTGTGGTCGCTTTGTAATTATCATTAATATTTAGGTATTAGAATTCTGAGTCTTAAAGACGGCCATTAACGAGATAATGTTTATAAACAGAGTGATTCACAATGATGCATTTATTAAATTTCTGATTTTTGCAATTTTCATGATTACTTAAAGGTCATATTTTCAAATACTTATTTTTTTTTTAACCATTTCAGGCACAATTTTAATATTTAGATACATTGAAAATTCCAAAAACAAAAATCATGTGCCAAATAATTTACAGTAAAAAGGGGGGTTCTCATTTGAAAAGCAAAAGTTGGCATCGTCACAGGAACGATTCATCAAAAATTATAAGAAATCTGAGTAATTCAGTATAAAAAATACCTAAAAATTACCCGAAAATTCCAGAAATCAGATTTTTAACAAATTAAACAATTAGCATTATTGATGTGAAAATGGGAAGAAAGCATCCTTGATGAATCACCGTCTATATACGTTATAATTGTATCATTGTCGTTACCGCCGTCGGAGCTGGCGGTCGATGCGTGGTGGGTGTTGTGAGGTGAGTTGCGCGTATACGCTATGACAACGACGACGGGTTAACGGTCGAAGCCGTCACCTTAGACTTGCGTGACTTGCGTGGTGGTTGGGTTACCGTGTGACAGAGCCTGTGACTCGGCCTTGGAGATCCAGGACGGCAGGAAGAGCAGGCTGAACGTGTTGCGGAACTGCCGGCTCATCACGCAGTACAGTATAAAATTGATGGCCGAGTTGACCAGCGCCAGCATGTCCATAACCTCGCCCATGTTCTGGTAGCAGTCCTGGAAGAACCGCTTGCCGAGCAGCAGCGTGAGCAGGCCTAATATGCCCTGCGGGAACTCGGTGATCAGGAACAACAAGAGCACGGCCAACAACATCCGGGTGGTCCGGTCCGTTTGCCGCTCCTTGTCGGCCGACTTGCGACCACTGCCCGTCAGCTTGGCACGGCGGCGTTTGGCCTCCAGCAGCGCGCATATCAGTCGCAGGCTGAGAACGGTGAGCGCCACGCACGGTATGATCTTGATGACGACGCTGTACACCCAGAAATTGATGTCTGCCAGATACGTGGACGTGGCAAGGTCACTGACGTTGACGTAGTATAGGGTGACGTTGCGCAGAGGCCCACCGCTGTCGTTACCACCTCCACCTACTTCACCAACACCTCCACTGGTGCTTATGCTAAAGCCTCCTCCGCCGGCGCCTTGACCGGTGTGGGCATCGGTGCCGTTATTGGCCCGCCTCAACGCTGACTGCAGCGCAGACGCCGGACGGTTGCCGTTCGCGTCCAAGGTCTCCACTCGAGAGAACAGGTTGAACGACAGGTAGCTTGGTATGCAGATAATCGGGCACACCAGGTAGCCTAACGCGATCGCCGACAGAGTGGTCTCCATCCTGCACCATATCCGGTTGATCTGAGGATGAACCACGGCAACGTACCTGCGGAAATCCGGACAAAACAGCATAATTAATGACAAAGGCGAATGTAAGAGATAACGTGAAAAAAGTATATGAGTTGTGTTCCAAAAGATCTGGGGTGTTCCGTTTCCAACACAGCTACCTAACCTTCTCTGTCCAAATTAAAAAGCTCCGATTCCCATTGATATGTGAGTTGGGAATTTTTTTTATTATTTAGCATATATTATTTGGTCTAACACTACATACCGTTGTTAAATGGAATTTGCAAAAAGTATTTTGGTTTATATAGTATTTATTATAGTATTCAAGTTATATTTTTATCATGACATTTAAAAAATATTGAATATAATGGATGTTTGATTTTTTAACTGTACCTATTATATTAATTTACTTAATACCTATATTACTAGTTTAACTATATTCGTACTTGACATTTAAAAATATTTAAATATAATCGATAAAAGTAGGTATATAATGGATACTTATGTGGTATATAATGATTAGAACATTAGATTTTCAAAAGTATTTGGCGTCTTTTCACAAAAATACATTTTGGTGGAACCGGGTATAGTATATTTTGGTTTTAATATGTAAGAGGGCTAAGTTTAAATCGGGGAACTGATTTTTTGGCAGATAAAAATCATGTCCATGATCAGTAAAGAAATTTGTGTATTTTAATCGGTAGTTCTTAAAAAACTATTAATTAAATATATAGTAATTAAAAATATGTTTGTTGAATGTAAAATTATGAAGTAACAAATTAGAAAATAGGTATACGTTAAATTCAATATTATGATCAACAATATAATATAAGTAATAAAACTAATAGGTAAATAAATAATATAAATATAATCATAAGCTAATAAAAAAATTTGACTGTCGAATGTAACAAAAAAGTAAATATATGTACGTTAAATCACTTGAATCTAATTAAAAATCAATATAGTCAATAATATAATAAAATAACTTTGTAAATAACACCAATATAATCATAAACCCATTAAAAATTAAGTTTATACTTTTTGATAAACTTTATACAATTTCTAACCGTGTTATTATATTTTATAATCTGATTACACTTAACCTAATCAAGTATTTTTCATCAGCTTGATAAATAGAAAACAGTGTGATACTAAATATTATATACTTTCATAATATTATATATATATAATACTTATATATTTAACAATGCATCGATAGTAGAGTATAGTTATTAACCCGAGTTGTTATTGATCGTGATGACGATAAATTAAATTTTGCTTATTATTGCTTGTTAACCAGAAATCGAGAAAACAGTCCACCCATGTTTATTTAAATTTAGTAATGTATCTCGCAATATAATGTCAGAGCACAGGACCCTCGTATAAATACACTACGGAGAACCCCTGAAAAACGAAAAAACCATTGTACTACCCGACCAATAATATAGTGGGACGCAATTCGTGTATATCATTTTTACGGGACGCAACTAAGGTGCTCCTACGCGAGACCTATAACGGGTAAAAAATTCATATATTAGTTCCTATATGGTAGAAAAAAATAATATAATATGTAAGTTTCTGTACATAGATGATATGATAGTATAGGTATTAATGATACAAATATTATTCATACAATTATCTTAAAAAAAAACAGGGTAAGTGGATGTCGCTCATCTGTACAGTAGTTAACAATTGGGTCAATGGATAATGGATTGTATTTAACTTGAATTCAATGATATAATATCATTGTATAAGAAAAACGATTCTGAGCGGAGACGGTTTGTCAGTCTCGATATTTTTTATATTGTTATTATTTATTATAACATGTAAGTTGAAATAATATTAAAATATTATTTTAGATACTGAGCGGAGCGAGGAATCTAGTGGTTTTACAATGGTGTTAATTATTTTTTTTTTTATTTATTTTTTTTTTTATATCCTGTATACAAAATTTCTACCAGAAGGAGTACTTCGATTTCAACACATAGTATCTTATCTTTTAGAAAATTCGATCGAGATAGTATTTTAAAGCGGTCATTTTTTGTTTTAATCAATAGTTATTTAATGCCACTGGAAGAACCACCGAAAAATTACTAAAAACCGCTAAAAATGGGATTTCAACTTCTTATGCTTTGTTTATCACCACAGAAACGAATAAAAAATAATAATATTATAACTCAACTTACATGATATAATAAATAATAACAATATAAAATATCCAGACTGACACACCATCTACGTTTCGGATCGTTTTTCTTATACAATGATATTATATCATTGAATTCAAGTTTAATACAATCCATTATACAATGACCCACTTGTAACCTACTGTACAGCAGAGCGACGTCCACTTTTTATTTTTATTGTTTCTATGGTGTATAAACAAAGCGTTAGAAATTAAAATCCATAATTAGCACTTTATTGTAATTTGTCAGTCGTTTTTTTTATTCGTTCTATGTTGATAAACAAAGAGTTAGAAATTAAATTCCAATTTTTAGCGATTTTTCGTAATTTGTTGGTAATTTTTCCGTGGCATTAAATAACTATTGAGAAAATCAAAAAATGACCTTCCTAAAGTATCATCTTGATCCAATTTTCTAAAAGATAAGGTACTATATGTTGAAATCAAAGCACTCTTTCTGGTAGATATTTTATATACAGGATAAAAAAATAAAAAAATAAATAAAATAAACACCATTTGTAAAACCACTATAATTATAAATGTTTCATTTTAAAATTCAGCAATAACAGAATGTATTGTGATTGTTTAACAGGTATTATTGTTTAATAGATACTTTTTCATCATGTAGGAATTAACAATTTCATTTTTATGATCATGTGGGAACTTGCTTACTTAAACATCTCATTTCTAGAATAGCATATGCAATTTTTTACCTGTTACTCTCGTGTAGGACCTTACTATTTCCCAACGACAAGACACACAACAATGACGATAATGGATTCACCCACAATTCTGACCATGTGTGTTTCTTCATCCGGACGTTACTGTCCATTCATAATATTGTATAGAATTACATATCACGTATTATATTATTATTCTGTGGTCGACGGTAAAAGTTTTATTTTTTTGAAAAGATTTTTTTAATCGAAAACTATGATCGGAATTCATTTTTTCATTCAAAACACTTTTAAGAGACTCGAAATTAAGTTAGGTACCTACCGATTTATAGCAGTTTTATTTGAAAAATAATAATATATATTTTTCAAATAGTGTGTTTACGAAACTTGTACGAAAACATAATTTGATCGATTTGGACACATATTACAGGTATAGTATTTTAAATTAATCTAAGCTACATACGTGTATTGTCGTAATTACAGTTCATTAGACATAGCTAGAAAAATTAAATCATATTATAATTAATTGTTAAAGGTTATAAATTGACAGAATATTTTAATAGAATCATTTGTTTAAAATTTTTTAATTTAGTCGTCAGAATATATTTAACAAATATTATTTTCACCAATTGTTTATTTCAGTTATAAATGTTGTACCTACATGCATAATAGTAAGTTATCACACAACTTTGACATATTTAAGTTTTAGGCATATTAACTGATATTCTTAGGTACTTATAAGATGCTTTGAGACTTTACTAATGGGCAGTTTTCATTACAGTACTTGAAAATGATGTACAAAGTCAACCATACATAATTCAAACTATAATACAAAAATACTTGGAAAAAATATTGCCATAGTTGTTTGAATTATGACGAATTTTCAACATTTTATAAGGAATTTAGATATAACTATATAAGTAGTAAGGACTATGACGTAAAGTGAGGAATGTATTGATATTATCCAATGTGTTATTTTTTTATCATTTAATATTTATTCTGTGAACACTTTTATTGAGTAGAAGAAGTAGAAAACTTTCAAGTGACGATACCTATAAATATTAAATTGGGAATTGAGTCTATTTGGTACCTACTTTGAAGAGGTAATTTTTCGATTAGTTTTTCTGAGCGTAAAGAAAATATATTAAATACTATCGTCAAATTTAGACGAAAATCGACCGACCAAGCATGATTTTAACTTTTAACTGAGCTCCAAATCATTTGTCAAACGCAGTGAATTATTACTTAGCTTTCAAATCTTTAATAGTGAAATACAACGCTATTCTGTACGGCTGTACAAAAGTGAGCAAATCGAATTTTGTGATTCTGTAGGTATAATTAATACAGGTATTTATTATATGTATGATGAGTGATTATAAAATATTAATTCTTGTTTTAGTAAAATATTTAATTAATCTGTTTAAGGTTTTTTTTAAATTTAGTTTTACTACGTCTTCTAAATGTTGTGTGACAAAAGTGGCTGGGATCGTGACCTTCATAATTTTTTGTCACATACAATTTTAATTTTTAGCCCCGTATGTATGTATAACTAATATTTAATTCGCGCTTCATAAGTACCTAATAAGATTAAAATCGTATTTTTTTTTTTAAAACTTTTGTTTAAAATTTAATTATAACGATCATATAAATCAAAATACGTTTTATATAATTTGTTACCTAAGAAATTAAATTATTATTAAAACAATATTTTTTACTAAAAATGAAAGATCATAACAAAAAAAGGTAAAAAATAACATTCATCTACTAAATGGAGTTTGGTAATTTTTTTCATCACATACATTTTTCCTCATTATTACTACAATTATAATTAATTATTATAAAAGTTGTATCTCAAATAAAACAAACATTTTTATTACCTATGTTTTTATAACTATTTGTATTAAACATCCAATGGTTAATTCATGTTTGTAATTTTAACATATTTTTTAAAATATAGTATTTTACCAGCCTTGATATAGACAATAATCGATTTTAATTGACAGCAGATTGGAATTTGATTATTATTAACTTATTAATTTATATTTTACTGTGATATGTATATAGTCAATAAGTTATCAATCGATTATTTACAAATGAAAATAAAAAATTATTTATACTTGTTTCTAATGAGAAACACTCTTCATGAAATTTTACTTAAATTGTCATTATTTTATTTTGTGAATTAAATTACTTATAACACAAAAAAG